CATTCATTCATTCAAAAAATATCTATTGAAAGGCTGCCAAACATCTGGAACAGTTCAGTTCAGTTCAGTTCAGTCCTCAGTCGTGTCTGACTCTTTGCGACCCCATGGACCGCAGCACACCAAGCCTCCCTGTTCATCACCAACTCCCGGAGTTTACTCAAACTCATGTCCATCGAGTCAGTGATGCCATCCAGCCACCTCATCCTCTGTTGTCCCCTTCTCCTCCTGTCCCCAATCCCTCCCAGCATCAGGGTCTTTTCAAATGAGTCAGCTCTTTGCATCAGGTGGCCAAAGTATTGGAGTTTCCACTTTAGCATCAGTCCTTTCAATGAACACCCAGGACTGATCTCCTTTAGGATGGACTGGTTGGATCTCCTTGCAGTGCAAGGGACTCTCAAGAGTCTTCTCCAACATCACAGTTAAAAGCATCAATTCTTCGGCACTCAGCTTTCTTCACAATCCAACTCTCACATCCATACATGACCACTGGAAAAACCATAGCCTTGACTAGATGGACCTTTGTTGGCAAAGTAATGTCTCTGCTTGTTACAGGTGTGTAAAAATATCAGGGAATGAAGGTTAGCTTCCTGGAGCTTAGAGTCTAGTGAAGGAGATGGATAATCCACACCGAAAATAAATATTCTGCACACTGTCATCCAGTGAGAAGTGCTGTGGAAGGGAAAAACAAAAATAGAACAGGAGAGACCATGGTTGGGCAGAGAAGAGGTCCTTTCAGAAAAGTCTTTTTGGAGCTGGTGGCCATAAGAAACCAGAGATCTGAGGGAGTAAGGGGGAAGAAAGTTCCAGGCAGGCAGAGTGGCACATGCAAAGTGAAGTGGGGGACCTCCTGGTGCCAAGTTGCCCTTCTCAAAATTCTTAGTGTTTTTTTTTTTTTCTGGCTGCATTGGTTCTTCACTGTTTTTTGAGGGCTTTCTCTAGTTGAAGTGAGCAGGGGCTACTCTTTGTTCTGGTGTGAAGCCTTCTTACTGTGGTGAATTCTCTTGTTGTGGAGCACAGGCTCTAGGTAATCGGGCTTCAGTAGTTGCAGCATGTGGCTCAGTAGCTGTGGCTCACGGGCTCTAGAGCAGAGGCTGGATACTGTGATGCCTGGGCTTAGTTTGCTCCGGATCATGTAGAATCTTCCCAAACCCAGGATTGAACCTGTGTTCCCCTGCATTGGCAGGCAGATTCTTATCCCCCATGCCATCAGGGAAGTCCTCAGATTTCTTTTCATTTTACAAAATTATTGCTGATCCCCAAAACTTTTGTTTTTGTGAATTCTATCTTATCACCATATATATACCAGTTAGGACTGAAAACCAAAATATTTATAAAAATGTATGACAATTTATTTCTCCTAAATTCATTGTGTATCAGTGTAAAACATAAAATATTTTTAATGAAATATAACTTTGCAAAACAATGACAAAATGGTGTTGAGAAGAGTAGCATTGTTTTGTATTTTGCAGCTGCATTTTCATATCTGCTTGTGACTTTAGTTGCTTGTGATATGTCGCTTTGATTCAAGTGTGAAGAAAATCCAGCCTCACACAGGGCATGCAGCTGGGAAGGCAGAGAAGAGTATTTTCCTAAAAAGTATAGTTCTCAAAAAGGAATGGACTTTTTTTTTAAGAAGAAAATTAGGAAGGGCCTTTTTCAGTAATTGTGTATATTTTTATTTGTTGCTTGTGAAAAGCAAATTTCTTAAAGGAAAACTGCAAAGTGGAATGTGAAATCATCTCAATGAATTTTTCAGTCTCTGGTGGATTAAAATCCACAGGTCTATCTTAGTACTTTGAATGGATCTTTTATTCATGCATGATTTTATAACATCCTACATGGGTCATTTGGAAAGCACTGATTCAGTGAGTTATGCACACCTTCCAAATATGAAATGTTCCACTAGCATTAAAAAAAAAACAAAACACTCATTTGTTACTATCACCATCAGTCTCATCAGAAAGTCTTTAAATGTTGGAAAGCTGCTCAGCTCACAATGGTGGATATGTCTCCCCAATTTCCAATTTTTCTTAGAAAACTTGAATTTTATTATTGGCAATATCCTGTCAAATGCATCGTGCCCTTGCAAACATTATCTCCCTTTCCAAAAAGTCTGGGAATCATAACAATAATTTCCATCATTTATGGAGCTCTTGCTCTATGCTGAACATCTTACTAAGCAATTTACATACGTTTTCTTGTTATTGTATTCATTTCCACTACATTCCTGAAAGGTATCATTCCTTCTGTTTTACAGTGGAGGAAACTGAGGTCCAGAGAGGTAGGTACTTGCCCAAGGTCACCTAGCTACCGGTACTCTTTTATACTATCAGAGTTTCAGAAAAGAATTTTCCAGGTAGGATAGGTCTAACTGAAAAAGTCTAACCCCTTGGACCCAAGAATTAACTCCTGCTTGTCAGACCATGTAGCCATTGGTTTAGATGGGAAAATACGGGGCCCCTCTCAAGAGGTAGTTATCAAGGCTTAACTCAAATGTTACCTCCTTGGAGAAAACTTATACCTTCTCTGGGATATAATAAAAAGTCCCTTATCATTAATTGATTGGTAGCTAAAAAGTGCTAGGTACCATATTCCATGAGCTAGATATATTAGTTTCCTCCTGGCAACATGCTTGCAGAGTAGATTGTATTATTCCCCTGTGTTGATTTCCTGTTGCTACTGTAACAAGTGGCCACAAATTTACTGGTTTACAAATTATTTTGCAGTTCTATAGGTCAGAAGATTCACTGGGCTGAAGACAAGTCGGAGGCAAGGCTGTCTTCTTTCTGGAGGTTTTAGGAGAAAATCTGTGTCTTTTCTAGCTTCTAGAATGGCATTCCTCCATCTTCAAAGCCAGCAGCCTAGCATCTTGAAATTTCTCACACTGTCTTTCCTCCCCACTTAGTTGTTAACTTCTCTGATTGTCTGATTCTCTGGCTTCTTCCCTCTTTCTTTTTTAAAGGATCTTTGTGTTTACATGGGTCCCACCCATTTAATCCAGAATAATCTCTTTATCTCAAGGTCTTCAATTTAACCCCGTCTGCAAAGTCCCTTTGCAATGTAAAGTCACATCTGTACAGGTTCTGGAGATTGGGAAGTGGACATTTTGGGGATGGGATGACTCTGCTTACCACACCTCCTTTTACAAAAAATTTACAGAATGTTTAAGAAAGTTTACCTGCTGAAATTCATGCAGCCCAGTGAATGGGGGTGTTGGGATTTTATTTCAGGCTTCCTTTGGTGGGGGGGCTGTGGTAGGACTTTGTTCCAGTGTGCAGGCTCTCTAGCTCTCTAGTTGTGGGGTGGAGGCCCACAGCCTGTGGAGGTCTTAGTTTCCCAACCAGGGATTGAACCTGTGTCCCTGCATTGGAAGGTGGCTTCTTAACCACTGGACCACCAGGGAAGTCCCTTTCAGGTCTTTCTTGACTGTGCTTTCCTCCCCTGGTTCTCATTGCAAGTATAAGGGCCTACTAAGGACTGTAGGGCCTACAAGGAAGTGTGTTAGTTAGTTAGTTGCTCAGTCATGTCTGACTCTGCAATCCCATGGACTGTAGCCCACCAGGCTCCATTGTCCATGAAGTTCTCCAGGCAAGAATACTGGAGTGGGTTGCCATTTCCAACTCCACAGGATCTTCCCAACCCAGGGGTCGAATCTGGGTCTCTTGCATTGCGGGCAGATGCTTTACCATCTGAGCCACCAGGGAAGCCCAGGGCCCACAGTGCTTGCTCATATTTCCCTTTTCACATGTATCTCCTTGTATTGAAATCAAGTGGTGCCACCATTAAAAAAAAAAAAAACAACATGCTGTTGAAATTCTCTGGCAGGCCAGTGGTAAAAAAAAGAAAAAAAAAAAAAAAAGGAAGAAAATAGCGTGTTATCCTGGTACTGTCTCTGCAAGTGATTTGAAAATTAGAACTGGGTCTCATTGATTATAATTTAGATTTTTTGTTCAAGCACTGTTACAATAAAAACCAGATGTAAACCACCATAAGTCATCAGTGGGTTTTCATATCCCTCCCTGTCTTTATATATAGGTAGATTTTTTTCCTGTGGTTTTAATCACAGCATGGATACAATATTATTGTTTCCCTAGCTTTTAAAAGTTGTTTCTTTTTTTTTGCTAGTGTGTTCACACTCATTTAATCTGTTCCTCACAGAAACCTTATGAGTTAAGAAATTTTATTAACCTTGTTCACAGGTGACGAACCCAAAGACTCAGCTGGAGGGGCCGAAGCAGGTGGTACCCTGCATGGTCAGGTGGGGCTCACTGTTTCTGGAACCAGTGACCTGAAAACTGGTCTGTCCGCATACTTGCATGTAGGTGTGTGATAGGTAACACATACTGGATGCTTACCATTTGCCAGGTCCCAATCCTAAACGCTTTACGGGTGCGTTTTTATTTTTTAAAAATATTCTCCGATGCCTAGTTAAAGGCGTGGCACAGTGCAGGCGCTCAGTGTGTTTGTGGAATGAATGAAAAGTGAACAAATGAATGAATGGGTGGATGCGACCTCCATAAACGTGACTGCTCTGAGATCTTCAGCTCGTACTTCGAAGACCCCGGCCCAAGCGTTCGGCGGAGCGGGCCGACCTCAGGCCGCAGCTCCCGGCCCGTACTTCCCGAGTCTCGCCCAGCACCGCCCAGGTGGCCTCCCAGAAGCCCGGGGCGAGTAGGCGCTCTGGCGTTATCACCTCCGTCCCCCGCGCTTTCCCCTCCGGGCCCGCGGGCTCTGGTCTGCAGCCTGCGGGCCAGTATCCGCCTAGGGGTGCGGGCTCAGGATCCACCCCCGGCCGGCTCCCGCCGCGCACGCCCACCTGTCGGCTGCGCATGCGCAGCGCACGCCCGGCGCGCCCGGCCTCCCCGCGCCCCGCGGCGCGCGGCCAGTGCGCAGGCGCGGCGGCCGATGCGAGTGTGTATGTGCGGGCGAGAAGATGGCGGCGGCGGGGGAAGCAGCGTGAGGAGCCGGACGAGCGCCGAGGCTCATTGAAACGGGCCGCCATGGCCCTCCGCAGCCCGCAGGTAGCCGCCAGCCGGCGCCCTCGGCGGGAAGGGGCCCCGGGCCGCGGGCGGGCGGGCGCTGGGGCGGACGGGCGGGAGGGCGCACCCCGGCCCTGAGCAAGCGTGTGGGAGTGGGGGAGGGCGCCGGGACACGCTGCCCGGGACTAGGCCCCGAGCCTCCCGCCGCCTCGGCCGCCCTCAGCCCGGCCCGCCCCGCGCCCGAGCCCGCCGGGCCCCACCTCGTGGGGGCGGCGGAGAGGGGGCGCCCGGGCCGGCCTGGAGAGGGTATGGGGGGGCGCGAAGGGGTTAACCTCAGGGCTGGACCGCGGGGCGAGCCGGCGGTAAGGATGGGGCCCTGGCCGTCCCGGGAGGCTGCCGGGGGGCTTCGGGAGGCCCGGGAGCGGCAGAGCCTTCCACGCCCTCTGGTTGCCTCTCTGCCCGCAGCGAACCACCAAGATTTGGGGGTGCACCGTTTTCCCCGTGGCACTAAAGGTTGCTTTCGCAGTTTGATTGACCCCGTGGCGGGGGTTGGGTATGAGTGAGGGGGATTGCTGGTTTCCTGGCTTTTAGATTGTAGTGACTGAGGAGCAGCTTAAGGTTACTGTTGCAAAGGACACTCGAGATAACTCGCCCGGACTGTACTTTTATTAATACCTGCCTTTGAGTGACATCCTTTGCATGAATCCGTCTCAGCCCGGCTGACACTATGCTAACGCACACTGTCAGAGCGGTCTCTCAGGCTTAGGGGCCACTTAATCCCGTAGTGGAAAGAAAGAGGAACGAGCACGCTTTTAGGGAGATAGTGTAGAGTTGAACTCAGTCCTCCCCACTCCCCCAAATACAGTTGCTCGGTTTGAAAATCAGCATGTGGTCTTATTTGTTGGGCTTTCTGTGTAGACCACTACTTTGTCGACTTCCATTCCGTAGAAGTTGTTGCACTTTTTTGTATCAACTCAGTGTGTTGTAGTAGTATTAACTTTGTATTAAATATAGGGAAGTGGAACAAAGTAGCTATTGGAAAACTGGTGGCCGGTAAATCATAACCCTCTCTAAGCAGTCGGTTTTTGTTGCCCTTTTGGGAATGGATAGGTTTTAATAACTTGTAATTAACGCGTGTCGCGGAATTTAAGAGGCGATAACTTAAAACAAAATGAGATCTTACAGGAAACTGCAATTTTGTTAAATTTTTGGCGCTCAGTTTGCTCTACAGCTTTCCGCCTTTAACTTTTTGTTCACTAGTACCTCTGCTTTTGAAAGTAACTCAGTAAAGTTCTATGCACAAAAAAAGGGCTCAGTGGTTGAATAAGTTTTACAAGTGTGTAATTCAAAGATTTCTTTCCTTAAGAGTAAGTATTTGCCTTTTTCTCAACTTAAATTTTAAGATAGATAGCTACAAAATAGGTACAAGGTTCATTGTGAACGAATGGGTCATAGTTGTAGCGATTTTGAAAAGAAAGAAGCATGTTTAGGCATAATTCACTTCATTATCATAAGCACCAGTCGCAGGGCAAAATTGAAATGTTTATGAGCAGTGATAATATGTAAACATGATTGTAATTTCGTTTTCTTTCCTTGTCCTAGTATTTGTTTTATACAGCATTATTGCCTGCATGTTGTACATCTTTGGAAAATTAAGGTGGCAACAGTTAGCTGAACATAAATGTTAGCAACACTTTGGGTTTATTCTTTTAAAGTATGATTGAAATGCTTTTAAGTTCTAGCATAGACAAGGTAGGAAAGGAAATAGTATGATTTATCATACTTTTCATAATTTTCTTTTTAGAAGTGTAGTAGTGAAAACAGGTAGTGAAATCATGTATGTGACAGGATTTAATGGTTGGATCCTGCTTAAGTCAGGCTGAACATTTTAATAATTTAGTTTTATTCAGTTACCTCCTGTCCTAAGGGTACTTCCTTGGTCATTGCCATTCATTAATTCAGCAAATACTGATTGAGCGCTCGATCAGCCTGTGCTAGGCACTGTGATGCATATAACGTGTTTACTGTGGTGGTTCACAACCACAGATTAGCAGTAAGGGCTCTATTTTGTTATATTTTTTCCTTAGGTTTTTTTAAGGGTCCTATTTTAAAATTGGATTTTTAAGGTTACAGTTTAAAACATTTATAGATTATATCCTATTTCCATAGTATTGATTGAACCCTTTTCCCTAGATTGATGTGAAACAGTGAAAAACTTGGAAACCTTTCTAATGTGGATAGCTTTCAACACATTTTAACAAACCCAAATAATGAACTTTGACAATTGAGGTGAAAGTACATCTCTGATTAATATTTGTCATCACGAGGGAACTGATGAGATGATTTGGGATAATTAATTTGAACTGACCAGTGCTGTCTTAAACCAGAAGAAGCGTTTGTGATCATTGCAGTTGTTCTTAGTGAAATCTCTACAGTAACGCTTCTCACACCCTATTTGAATATCGTGTGGCTGCTCCTGTCCTGGTCCTCTGCAGCGGGCTCACGCCAGTCTTTCCCTTACCTCTGATAAAACAACGTGGCCCCTGATTTTACACTGTGGGGTTTCTTGGATCCAGCTTACAGCAGAAGTTGAGTGTTACTGAAGCATTGAGTATCTTTGTAGCTGACAGCTGGGTTACTAGTTCTCCGAAGAGAAGCATTTTTATTGGTGTTTCATGGTGAGCAGCTGAAGTAAATAGAATTATTTGAAATATAGGATATTTGGAGATACCAGTGTTTGTTTGTAGAATGACAGCAAGATCTTGAAACAGGTCCTCACACTAGATACGCTGTTTAAAGTTTGAGGTGATGGTCTCCTCAGGGGTTCCTGCAGACAGCAGTGGAGGTGAGCCCCACCCAGGGCCTCCCCTCACGCTCCGGAGCCCACCTTGTGGGGACCAAGTGATGAAGTGATGGCAAGTAATAAGTGGACCTGCCTCACTCTAAATTCCTCTCCAGAGCAAAAGTTAGGACGTTTATTTCAGATTTTTTTGAATATAGAACTGACACAACTTGAATAGTGAGTCACATAGGAAAACTTAAGGAAGAAAAAAATTCCAAAGCATAATGATTATTTATTTAATGCCAGGCCTAGTGGCACATTTACTTTATGTTGTGCTCAGACTATAATATTCAAGTAATTGAGAAAAGTTGTGTCATCTCAACCTGAAGTAGTTACATCAAGATTATTTGTTTGTGTTTTTACAAATTTCAGACATGCAAGTACTTGCTGTTATGAGATCTGGCTTTACAAGTGGCACATTGAAGGTGGTTGCTGAGGACACTCTTACTGACAATACACTAAGTATGAAAGCCAGTGGGAAGCGCTTGCTTTTGAATCTGTAATCACGCTGTAGCAGGAATCACTGTGGCACAAAACAGATAGATCTGTCTGCAGTGGAATTCCCTGGCCTTGGGCCACTGGATTACTGTCGTTTGTCGCTTCAGTGCTGCTTCAGCAGTGTAGATGTTCAGTTCCAAAGACTTGCGTGTGCTTGGACTGCAGTTTTCCTGTTTTTGACGTGATCTCCCAGTAGGTCTTTCTGTGATCTTTTCTGTCAGTGCCGGCTGGACGAAGAACTGAGTGTAGGCAAAATAAAGATAGCCCTTGGGGTAGGTTTATTGTACTATTTGTTTCAAGGATCAGACATTGTAGAATCTGTCATAAACCTCAAGGTGGAGTCTTCAGAGTGCAGACTTTTCATGAGTGGGCCACTTTCTGACTATTTGAAAGCTCCTCAGCCATGACCCCATTTTCAGCAGAGGACCTGAGGAACCAATAGCTCTGTGCTGCTCCCTGTCTGGAAGGGCCCTGTGCTCGGGTTGCCCTCTCCTGGGAGTAGGCTTGGTGAGGTGTAGAGGTGGAAGTGTGGTTTGGGGTGGGGAGGACACAGCTGGTCTTGCTGGACATGCCCTCTCTGGCTGCCTTGAACGCTGAGAGATGACCAGGTGCCCGGACCACGTGCTAGCCCAGGGCTGCTCCTCTGCCCGCCCCCCTCCTGGGCTTCATCTGCAGCTTTTTTTTTGGTTGTCATTCTTCAGGTCAGTTCTCACTTTATTTTTTTGGTTATCAGCTCAAGGACCACCTCACCATCTCACCATCTCATAAGCCTACACTCTCTAATTTAAGAGTCTCACAAGTAGTGCATTGGAAATAAAAATACCTCCTAGTAGAAGGATTGGTACTCCACTCTTGTGCCTTTGGTATCCAAGTTTTACACCTAGCTGCCTGCCTTTCTCTCTCTGTCTTTCTGATGATGGTACAGTTTTGTTTCCCCACTTGTGCTTGTTTTATGGAGAAATGCTTCTTTTTATCTGTGTGTACTACATGCACACAGTTGGCATGCCAGTGCTCTTTTCTAGCAAAGTAGTCTTTAAAGTTTCAAAAGATTCATTTCAGCATGATAGCTGCAAACTTATTGTCATTGGAGCTACTGTGAAAAAAAATTTAAAGTAACTTGAATAATATTAGAGATCTCAAGTATGCTCTACTGTAAGACACTGAATGTAGGGGAAAAAACCTTGCATTTAAGACTGAACAAAATAGAGGGCTTCATGTTACAGACCTGTTATTGTGGATGAGCTGGCTGGGGAGGGAAGGGAGGAGTCCCATGAACAGCCCCCCACACCCCCATCCTCACCCCTCTCCTGGAGCTGTAGTTCCACGAGAGCCATCGGATGCACTGGAAGTGGTGGGGACTGTATTTTGGACCATTTTCTCAATTTACTTTCCTCACTGTTCAGAAAAATAGACGTTTATCATTATTGTGAGTACAAGTCCAAAGTATTCTTTGTTTTAAAATATGTTGAGTAAAGCTGGATCTCTATTAATTGTCTGCTGCAAGCCATAGACCTTGTGAACTACAACCAGAACCGCCCAAGAACATTTAATACATGGCTGTGTGGGGGGAATTTTGATTTGGCTTCTGGGCTAATGAGTTAGTCTGCTAACTAATAATTGTTTAATTATTCTCACATAAAGATAGCATCCTTTTCTCTGGATATAAGCAATGCGTTTTAAATTTTATTATACTCATTTAAAT